ACACACACACACACACACACACACACACACACACTCCCCACAGTACTTTGCTACACAAATACCCCTTCTCTTTCTCTCTCCACACTAACCCTGGGAATTCAGGGCCTCCAACTCTGACCAAATCCCAATCCTACCCTGCCCCACCCTACCAGGGTGCTCCTCAACAGTGACAAACTCAGGAATGCCATGAGCTCCTCATGGACTGGCCCCAAATCTCCTTCAACCCCAGTCAGCCCCAGGGACTCAGGCAAGGGACAGAAGGTCCTTGGAGGGGTAAAAAAAAATGGAAAGACATCCCTCTAGGGTCCCACCATCTCTCTCAGGCCTCTGCAAGAACATGGGAAAGCCCCATCATCCCCACTCCTCCTACAAGAGGGTTCCCTGGGAAAAGCAGAGGGTTCAACCTCCTCCCCTTCCTACCACTGCCACTCTCAATCCCCAGGGCAAAGGGAGGAGGATGTAGACGCCAGATCTTCCCCCTATGTCCACTCCAGTGCCCTCCACTCCCCTCCAACACATACATTCAAACATAAGCCAGAGGAGTGGACAGGTGGACAGCGCCATTAAAAAATTTCAAGTCATTTCTCCCAGGCTAATCAAACCTGCCTTTCCCTTCCTTCTGCTGAAGTTTGTCCTCTCCTTCTCCATAGGAAGACCTGGTTCCACTCTAGGGCTAGATGATTATTTGGAAAAGGGCTCTGTTGGAGCTCCTGCAAACAAGATGTGCACAGGGATCACCGATGCCCCCTTCCCCATTTACCTTCCCTACAGAGAGTCTCTGTGTTCTCTCTCTCCCTCTGTTCTGCTTTTAGTTTCTTCCTATAATTCTTGCTCTGTCTCTTGCTCAATACTTTCTGTCCCCTTCCCCTTCTCATTTTTGGGTCAACTCCTATGGATCTGGTACCCTTTGGCCTCCAGCTCTTCTGTTTTCCCTGCCAGAGACAGGGCCAAAGAGAAAGGCCCCTCCCCAAGTCCTGAAGACGCCTCATTTCCAGACCTCTCTCCTTCAAACCAACCAAATCAACTAATCGTTATTAATTTTTATTTGACTGGGGGAGGGGCAAAGGGAGGGAGAGAGAAAGAGAAACAGAATTCAGGCTCCATGCTCAGCACTGAGCCCAACGCAGGGCTTGATCCCAGGACCCTGGGATCCTGACCTGAGCCAAAATCAAGAGTTGGAAGTTCAACCGACTGAGTCACACAAGTGCCCACCCAAATCCTCCAATTAAATCCTCCCCCTCTCTTTCAGCCAATTATAACTGTCCCTTCATATAACCTACATTAAACCTCATTAACCAACATCCCAGGGGACACACATACCAGCTACTTTGTGAGAGATAATATGGTGTTGGTTGGCTATTTATTTATTGTTAACAGGAACATGACCTAGGCTTGGGATAGGGGACAAACAATGACACCAAGGAGTTTAGGGATGATCTTAGCCTCTATGCCATAAACATAGCTTACATGAACACAGCGTGCCTGCTGTACAGACAAAGCTTTGAAACAAGAGCCCCATCTCCCTCTTTCTTTTCAGTCTGATGCTGATGTCTAAGGCTCTCCCAGGTAAGCCTGGATGAAGTAAGACAGCATCAGGCCAATGTCATCAGAGGTGGGGGCAGCACAGGCTCAGAGGATCCTAGAGCCCCTGCTAGAGTTGGGGACCATCAGGTTCAACCCACTTCTTTCACAATGAGGAAACAGACCCCCAAGGAGGCTAAGGTCTTGCCTAAAGTGACTCAGCTTGGGCAGAGCCAGGCTAACAGTTAAGTTTTCCTAGCCCCCAGGCTAGTGGTGGGGAGACCTCTTTTTGGTGTATATTTGGATCTCCAAACCCAGCCTGAAGAGCAAGGAATTACTGGGTCCTTGGCAGGAGTCAAAGGTCCCAAGGGCTGAGGGCTAAGAACCAGAGATGGGACCATGGGAGGAATCCCCACTACCCTCTGCCCATGTCAGCAGTTCCTATGCCAACAACAAGCCGGGGACCAGCTCAAGCATCAGATTCCTTGTGACAGGCAGGAATGACGAGGCTCAGAAGAGATAAAAGCAAGTTAGCTTGTGGCTCCCATCTATGTCTCCAGGCAACCTCACCAGCTGTTCCTGAGTCCCTGGAAAATAACAAGCTGGTAGTTCTGTGCTGACTCCAGCGATTCCCCACTGCCCCAAAAAGGGACAGAAAGTGAGCAACTTGTAGACTGGGACACATCCAACGAATAATTCAAGACATGAGGTTTTGGTTACCCCTCCTGTGCTTTCAAGATGGGGGAGAGTATTTCCAAAGGGTGTGTCTATGCCTTGGATAAAGTGGTTTGTAAGGGGGTCACAGGGAAGAAGGAAGCGCCTGCAAATTCATCTCTTCCATCTTTCCCCCAGTCACTCTTCCACACCTGCTCCCTTTGGTGGGGAGGCGGGGGACAAAACAGTTCCAAATTCCTTAAGCCCTGGGGGAGGTGGGGACTGGGAAAAAAGCAGGTCGGGGGTTCCAGGCTAAGCCAAAGCTGCTGGCTGGCCCCACAACCCTGGCTCCACACTCTGATCCCTTCCCATCCCTCAGAATAGCGCCCTCCAACCGGGCTCCTTGAACTATCGCTCCCATAGGTGTCTAGGCAGAGGAAGGGGCAGCCCTTTGCGTCCAGGGCACTGTGGGAGATGTAGTTCCGGCATCTCCTGGACCAAGCTCCAGGAAGAGGGGCGGCACATCCCCTCCATATCCTCCACATCCTTGGATCTATTCTTTCAATCTTATAAACATAAATGATCGCTCTGGGAGGGGATGATTCTAGTCCTCGCTGGGCATGCTGGGAGCCCCCCTACCCCACCTCCACCGCACCCCACACACCTGAAATATTGATGCCCTTGAGGTCGACAGCTTCTCGGAGCTGGAAGAGGGAGCAGAGGGAGCAGAGAGCGGAGAGGCGGAGACAAAGAGACGGCAGTTACACAAAGCGCCCAAAGAACAGAGCGGGAAGGACAGGAAGGGAGGCAGGAAGGAGACAAAGGCGGACAGGGGGATGCGAGGCAGAAGAGGATGGGAGAGGGGAGTGGCAGCAGGCATGGATATCAGACACAGACATGACACCTCGTGACTCAGGGCCCAGCAGATGCCAAAAAAAAGTCCTAGCGCTGCACCCCCTCCCCAGAGAGACCATAAATAGAAAACAGCGACACACCCCCTTCTCCCCACGGTGTGCGATGGGGGAAGGGGTCAAGGGGAAGAGAAAGCCAGAAAAGGGTCTGGAAGAGAACAGACACCTGGGGACAGAGGCAGGGAGACAAGATAACATGGGGCAAAGGCAGGGGGTGAGGAAGATAGA